ATTAATCCTTGTGATGTGTATAAGAAATACGGCCTAAGGAATGGGGCTGAAAAATGTAACCTTATGGCAAAGTTTCACGTACTTTATGCCACGCTCGTAATTTGGCCACATGTAGTTAGAGCCTCATTCCAGGATCATCTGAGCACTGAATTCCATATGTCATCAATGTGGGGGTTGGAATCTAGCATCTCAGTATGTGGCAACTTGCATTTAGAAAATCTTATTACGGGGCGCCTGGGTGGCTCAGTTGGTTGAGCGACTGCCTTCAGCTCAGGTCATGATCCTGGAGTCCCGGGATCGAGTCCCGCATCGGGCTCCCTGCTCAGCAGGGAGTCTGCTTCTCCCTCTAACCCTCCCCCCTCTCATGTGCTCTCTCTCTCTCATTCTCTCTCTCAAATAAATAAAATCTTTAAAAAAAAAATCTTATTACGATCATCAGAGGAAGATGGGAGGGTTGTACCATGCCATGAAGCACGTTCTCAAGGATAGCTTATTAACTGTGGTAACTAAGCTAATGAGCTCATTAGTACCAAAAAGTCCACTCGCCCTGAAGGCAGTAGGAAAAAAATAGTAATCATAACTTTTTGATGTATTTTGTATCCTCAAGTCTTCATGAACTTTAGCCTTGAAAAACAATACATTTCCTTCAGATCATATTCACAGAAGAAAGCTCACTTGGAAGAAGAAAAATATTCCATTTCACGTAACAACACTTATTGCCAACAAACAGCGTCTACTATGAATACAGCTAGAATCTGAAGACTTCGGAAACTGTAGGGGTGACAGGCTAGGTGAAAGCATGAGAGCTGGAAAGAAAAAAAGTGTTTATCAGTGTAATCTCTTATAAGGATCTTCCATTTGTAGAGGTGATAATGGTTGTTGACGCTTTGGCACATCAATCTTTTTTTTCTAAAAAATAACATTAAAACTCTTCATTTTAATGCTCTACTGGTAAGCAGAATACTTGGATTGAAAACTAATAAATGAGGTAACGTGAAAGCTGGAGAATTTTAGACCTTCCCCTTCCATGGTGGGAGGTTTCACAAAGATCTTATATTTTTGTTAGAGGGACACTACCTACACTCCCCGCTAGATTATGACCCTCTTATCATGATGGGTGAATACATATCAGGCAGCAACTTTGCATCAAGCACAGCACCACGTGCTTTCTATCATTATCTCATTAAATTGTCAGGATGGAAACAATCTTATCCCCTTCTGCAGAAGGAAACTGGAGTTGAGAGAAGGTTAGGGCTGGTTCCGGAACTCCCAAGTGGTGCAGCCAAAACTCACACAAGTCTTTCTGATTCTAAGGCTCCCGCTTCCCCACCCCACGGCAGTCTTCTAACTAGGGTCATCACTCATCCTGCACACGCCAGTGACTCCAACCATTTGTAAGTGACATATTTTAATGGCATTTACTCGACAAAAGGATAACGCAAGAGATCTGTTGCATGCAGCCAGGAAATCAATGCAGTTTTCCTACATGTTTTAAAAGATCGGTATGTGGTGAGGTGCCCCAAAATCTGCTTCGAATGACTGCCCGGAACACAAAAGATAAACACAAGGTATGTGGGCTGCCACTGTGTCCACCCTCACCCACGGCAGGCACCACGCGTCAATCTCTCCTGCCAGCTCTTGATGTGAATCTTCTCCACAGCCCGACTGAAAATTCCGAGACAGCAGTGCAACAAACCTTGTCCGCTGCCCCTCACCTGAATGCCCTAATCTGTGTTCCAACTTAGGTCAAAACTTTTTTAAACATGCTCAACTTGGCAGGGATGAGATGGAGCTCTACTGCGAGAACCTCAAAAGGTGAAGAGTTGACTCCACAACAATACATATTCTTCGGGGTAGGTCCCGGACCACGCTGTGTAACCATGTAACCATGTCCTCCCAGGCCCTCCAGCTTTTCCTTGGTGCCTCCCACCTCCAGCACTCACAAGGGTTGCTTCCACATGGAATCTGCCTTCTAGAAAGTGCTTTGGGTCCTCATCTTGATACATAAACTAGTGACACGAGGTAAGTCACCTCCTCTCTCTGGTTCTTAATGGGAAATAATACCCACTATTCGCTGTAGATAGAATATACGTGAAATGAGAAACAACCTATTAACCACCTCAGAAGGCATTTCAAAAGATCAGATGAGACAATGCTTACAGAAAACCTTGTCAACCTTAAAGCGCTGGCCACCTTTAGAGAAGCAGGCTCTGCTATTAGTAGACGTTAGAAACCATGGCCCATCCTCATTAACCAACTCAAAGGAGAAACTCTGAGGCCCGCTCGGATGGGGACCCATGTCACGGGGTCCTGGCCATGGCGGCACAGCCTCCAGGGACCCGGGAATCAGGGAGGAGGCAAACAACGGGATCCACCAACTGCACCTTCTCTGGTAGGGCAGTCTGTGAAATGGGACACCAAAGCTGGGTCTGTAACACACAGCTGCTCCCTTTCCAAGGACCTGCTCCTCAGCAACATCCAAGTTCACAGTTTGCTAGTGTTGTTAGCGGAATTCCCAATTCCTGTGGCTTTATACCTCCGGGCTGAAAATACCGTGCCGGCTGGCGTGTGGCCCGGCTTCTGGAGCCCCAGGATGATGAAGGATAAATACGAAGGGGTGTGCTCAGAGGAGCAGACACAGCCTTGAGACGTGGCCATGTGGTGACGCGGGGGAGGAGGAGGAGGGTGTCAGCAGGCAGACGGAGCAGTTATTAGAGGAGGGAAAAAAGAAGTGAAGATCTTCCAAATAACAGTTCTTTGGGGAATGTAACAAGTACTCTCCTCTAAATTAACTTTCTCCATTCTCAGTCCAATAATCCAGATGACTACTGGTTCTCGAAGTCACACAAACTCTTTTATTGGGGTTTTCCTATATAAATCCTTAGGGAGCTCTTTGATATGCATTATGGCACATTTTAATCTAAGTTCTGCATTTTAATTGATCCACTGAAAGATAATGTGAGAACTAAAATGTACTTTTAGAATTTCTTAACCCCCAGGATGATAATTAACTATTAAAATGTGTTTAGAGCCTGAATCGCAAATCAGAACAGCACAAGAATTAACTTAGCCAAGCACATCACTGAGATTTCCTAGCTATGCAGTAAATTCAGTGAAAACTGTTTCCTTTTTTCCAAAATGGAAACAGCTTTGTTACTTTGTCTAATGCGTTTAAAATTCTTTCAGTACAGAAAGAATATCAAATGTGAAAGTCATCCAGGATCCCCCCCAGTGGAAGTTACCACTGGTAAACATATTTTGATGTATCACCTTCTAAACTTTTGTAAGCATATATGTGCATATGAGCTTTTTCAAAATTAATGTCATGTTATTCATATAGTTGATAACTCAGTAATACACTGTTAAGGCTAACCTATGTCAATAAAAATTATTTTCCAACGTATTTTTATTGGCTACATAATATTCCATTTCATGTATATGCCATGATTTATTTAACCAATCTCCTATTGACAGACATTTGGGATTGTTTCCAATATGTCACTTATAAACAACTACAACTACAGAAAATTATAAATATGAGTGCTTTCTACTTCTCTCCATAAATAAGTTTGAAAATCTGGATAAAATAGATGATTTTCTAGGAATATGTAAATTACTAAAATGGACACAAAAAGGATAGGAAACTTAGACCAGTAAGTATAGGATTTTTTAAAATAGCCCAAGGACTACCTCTCCAAAAAAGCCACATCCAGATAATTTGCAAGTGAAATCTCCCAAGCCTTTAAAAATTCTATTTAGAGTAGTCCAGAGAAAGAAGAAAGAAATTCTTTCACATTCTTTTTTTAAAATTTAGAATAACACTGACACCAAGCTCAACAAAAATGGCATAGAAAAAAGAAAATAAACCAACCTCACTTCTGAATATCAATGTAAAATTTCTAAATAAAATTTAGCAAATATAATCCAGATAAAAAGAATAAAAAACCAAAGACCCAGAAGATTCCATTCCAAATATTAGTATGTAAGATCATTATCAGAAAATCTAATAATATAACCTTACCATATGACTTGTTTAAAGCAGAAACATATGATCACTCTAACACATGTCTAAAAGATGTGATAAAAGTAACTCATTTCTGATTTTTTTTTAAGCCCTAGTAAAGTGAGAATAGGTAGAGGTTTCCTTAAGATTATGTCATTCCAGGGGCGCCTGGGGGCTCAGTTGGTTGAGCATCGGACTCTTGATTTTGGCTCAGGTCATGATCACAGGGTCCTAGGATCAAGCCCCAAGTCAGGTTCTGAGCTCAGCACGAAGTCTGCTTGAGATTCTCTCTCTCCTTCTCCCTCTGCCACTCCGTCCTGACGCATGCACATGAGCTTTCTCTCTCTCTCTCTCAAATAAATAAATAATTAAATAAAATCTTAAAAAAAAAAAAAAAAGAATGCAACCTCTGAAACCAGAATTCCTGGGTTCAAGTTCGGCTCTATCACTAGCTGTATGACCTTGAACAGATTACTTCATTTCTCCATGGCTCACCTTTCTCATCTGTAAAATGGGATAATAATAGTACATACTCATAGGGATCCTGTAAGGTAAGTGCTTAGAACAGCACTTGGCACATAGCACTGGATTAGTGTGCATAAGAATATAAGCAGATATCCGTAACATCAAAGAGCCAAGACCACGAACAAGTAATGAAAAACTAAAACCATTGCCATGAAAGTCATGACTAAGAAAAGAGTACTCAAAGTCAACACTACTATTTAAATTGTTGTTCTGAAAATAGTAACCAAGTGGGTTAATCAGGAGAAACCTAACTTTTATAAATGTAGAAAAATAAAGATGGAATTAATCATGATTTGCAGATGAGAACTATTGCTGAAAATACCAAGAGAATCAACTGAATGCCTATTAAGGACAACATGAATTTACTGGATCTATTTCATTCATTCACTACCCTAAAGAGAAATTTAGAGAGAACTATGAAAACAATCTCAAAATGCCAGAAGCTGGGAACCTGAACCTTTTGAAAACTCACCTTGGCAATTTAATTTTGGGGACTCCCATGTGCCCAAGGCTGTGCAGCTTGAAACTGTATCTTCTGAGCCACTGAAAAATCCTTCTTTGCAAGCATAACGAACCTGGCTGCCAAGCCTAGAAGTATAATTTCCGACGATAAAGCCATCTGGGACCTCAGGAGGGGTGCCACAGTCTATTTCTGAAAATAAATTAACGTCAAATTCATTAGTATGTGAATATGAATTTTCAAAACTCATCATCTCTCTCCACCCCTACCCCATCATTCCCTTTCCCTCCACACACACCTGAGCGATATTTTACATAGACTGGTTCATTTCCATTTTGACTTCTAGGCATGTTTCCAATGATTGTCTCTATTCAACCTTCTGGCCTTCCATAGGAATAGCATCTACACACGCACAAAGCTGATGGGATTTGGCAGTCAACCTTCACTAATTCACACTAAAGAGAAGCCTACCCCAGCGAAGTAAAAAATTTGAATTGCAAAATACCTTCAGATATATATGGCTTTGTAGTTTTCAGAGTCACTTTTCTGTTGCTGGTCCTTACCAGGGCAGCTATGTTTACTATCTAAAATCAGGTTTAATAGGAGAATATCTATTAACTACTAAAAATCCCAGAAGTTTACTAATTGTAGCTTTAAAAAAAAAAAAAATGAGATAGCCAGCCCCTTCTATCTTGTAATATTGACTTTATTTCATAGGTTGTACAGATGCACAAAGGACAGATAATCTCCACTCATATCCCCAACACAGACCCCACAGACGCAGGCTCAGAGCAGGAGAAAGTCATCTGAGAACAGAATCCCACTTTCAGAAAGCTCCCTTCTTTGGCAGAAACCCACCTGTGCATGACGTGGCATCTCTGGTCGGGTGGAAAGGCTCGGGTCCATTCTTTGGCAAGTATCCATCCATACAGTAGCATTCGAAACTTCCATAAGTGTTCACACACCGTCCTCCTTGCTTGCACAGGCCGGAAACCTCACACTCATCTACATCTTGAGACCCAGATATAAGAAGGGAGAGAAAAAAACAGAAAAAGGGAAACACAGGGGCAGAGGGGTATTGGAACAGCCACTTCTCACATTCTCAATCTACCCTTACAAAAATGGATGCATTTGTTTGCAATGGCATCATGAATTTTATTTCATTCTTCAAAGATTCTTTTCATATACCCTTTATGCCATCGGTATTAAAAGGTGTTCAATAAATCCTTGTCAATGTGTTTTGGAAATTTACGAAAACCAACGACCATCATGAACTCTCTGACACCCAACAAAATGAGCCCAAAAAAAGTATGCTGAAAAAAATTCAATCACTACAAAATAAGGATGTCCTCTACCTCATACTAAAATACCTGAAGGATGGGGCATCTGGGTGGCTTAATCTGTTAAGCGTCCAACTCTTGGTTTCGGCTCAGGTCGTGATCTCAGGGTCATAAGATCAAGCTCCTCATCGGGCTCCATGCTGGGCATGAAGACTGCTTAAGATTTTCTCTCTCTCTCTCCCTCTTCCTCTGCCCCTCCCCTGTCCCTCTCTTTAAAAAAATAAATAAATAAATACCTGAAGTAGAACTCCAAATATAAAACAATTTAAACCAGAGTGAAAAATGCTTTCTAGCTCATGAGCATAGGATGGTGAGGCAGGTGGTAAGAGGAAAATTCAGAAGGGTCTCACTAATTTTACCAAGATTACAAGAACTTAAGACGAGCTTCGAGAAGAAAAAGACATGCCCCTTGGCAGACTTTTCCCCTAGACCTCCAAAAGTATCAGGTACAGCGGTAAAAACCACACAGTAATTCAGAGACTGGAGAAGAAAGCTCTCTGCCAGTTAGCAGATTTTTTCCCCTAGAAATGACTTAGAGAACAAAACTAAAACTTTAGAAATTCCATTAGAGCCATACAAACACCAATTTCACCTAGAGAAAAAAAATACCTTAAGTGAAATGGAACTTTTCCCAGGACACTTACAAGAACCATGGCGGGGGGCAGGGGGCAGGGGAGCAAAGAACAGGGAGTAGCAAGACTGAAGGAATCCTGGTTGTTACCAGGCTCCGGGATTTTAAAGGCCAGTAATTTTGGAAGGACCAATATAAAGTGGCCAGTATTCTACTTTGCCAGGTAAAGAGCATTTTGTTTTGTTTTGTTTTGTTTTCCAAAACCTACTAACACCATAATTTCACAAAAGAAGGAAGAAAATAATATCAGAACCCTTTTAAATTTGTGATTTTATTAAAATTCACTATAGTCTCCTTTTTGTGTGGTTTCTGGTCTTGACCAATGAACTCCTCATCACTCACTGATTATTGTTTAGGAGGCAGTGATTCGTTGAATTGCTGAAAAGAGCCCATACAAGCTAACAATTCTGATAAACCTACGGCTTTAATGCAGCAAACTTTGAGGAAAATCTGGGAGATGATCTCTAAAGATGGTGGCCATCTCTTGGGGATTCAAGAGGGGAATCCATTCCACCACCACCCCCCCTTGGGTTGGTCTCGAGACTTGCTTTGGACAATAGAATGCAGCAGAAGTTAATGCTATGCCTTCTGTGAACCTAATCTTGGAAACGACTAGCAGCTTCCTCTCTCCCTCTGTTGGAATACAGTGGCCATGCTGTAAGGAAATCCAAGCTATCATGCTTGGGAGCGAAGGCACTCAGGGGACACCCTGAAGTTGAGACACCAAGTGAAGAGAGAGACCACATGGAAAACTAAGGTGTCCTGGCTGATAGTCAGCATCAAGGCCCTAGAATGTGAGAGAGACCTTCTTTTACCTACCAGCCCAGCCCAGCCACTAGCTGAATGTTTCCACATGAGTGAGAGAACCACCTAGCCATGGAACTGTGAGTACTAATAAATTGTTGTTATAAGCCATTAAATGGGGCGGGGGGCTGGGGCAGGAAGTACCATTATGCAGTAATAGATGACCAAAACACTCTTGACATATGAAGAGATGCAGGAGTCCAAATGAGATTAAGAGGATACTGTAATCGGGTGCCTGGCTGGCTCAGTTGGTAGAATGTGTGATGCTTGATCTCAGAGTTGTGAGTTCAAGCCCCACACTGGGTGTAGAGATTACTTAAAAATAAAATCTTAGGGGCGCCTGGGTGGCTCAGTTGGTTGAGCGACTGCCTTCGGCTCAGGTCATGATCCTGGAGTCCTGGATCGAGTCCTGCATCGGGCTCCCTGCTCGACAGGGAGTCTGCTTCTCCCTCTGACCCTCCCCCCTCTCATGTGCTCTCTCTCTCTCTCATTCTCTCTGTCTCAAATAAATAAACAAAATCTTTAAAAAAAATAAAATAAAATCTTAAAAAAAAGAGGATACTGCAATCAATGAAAAAAAAGAGGGGAACTTCTGAAAAAAACAATGAGATCTTGGAAATTAAAAGCAAAATATGAACGCCAAAAATAAAAACCAAATAGAGGCACTGAATAATAGGTTGGTCACTGCTGGAAAATAAATTTGCAAATTCCAACTTAAAGAATTCTCCAAAAACACATAGAAAATGAAATTATATAAGACAGAAGCTATAGGACAATAAACAATATAAGGACAGATCCAAAATATGTAATATTCACTTAAGAGGAATTGCAGGGGGCACCTGGGTAGCTCAGTCAGTTAAGTGTCCGACTCTTGGTTTTGGTTCAGGTCATGATCCCCGGGTCGTGGGACTAAGCCCCAAGTCAGGCTCTGTGCTCAACACGGAGTCTGCTTGAGATTCTCTCTCCCTCTGTCCCTCCCTCTCATGTTCACTCTCTTTCTCTCTCTCTCTAAACTAAATCTTTATTAAAAATTAATATCGGGCGCCTGGGTGGCTCAGTTGGTTGAGCGACTGCCTTCGGCTCAGGTCATGATCCTGGAGTCCCAGGATCGAGTCCGCATTGGGCTCCCTGCTCAGCAGGGAGTCTGCTTCTCCCTCTGACCCTCCTCCCTCTCATGCTCTCTGTCTCTCATTCTCTCTCTCACAAATAAATAAATAAAATCTTAAAAAAAAAATTAATATCAAAGGGAAAATTTCCTCTGCTTATGTATTCACTTCCAAACAGCCTTTTGAGGTGACAGGCATTAATGTTGAAAAGTGAAAGTCATTCTGAATTTCATGGAATAAAAGAGAACCTGTGAAATGAGAGAGAAAGGAATGGTTATCTATGAAGGAAAGAACACCAACCTGACCTAGGATTTCTTGTCTGAAACACCAAATAGTAATGGAATATTTACAGAGTTCTAAGGAAAAGGGAGCAAGACACAGTACTATAGTTAAGTCAACGAATGACATTTCAGAACATGAACGATCTCAGAAATCATACTATTGATATTTATTTTTTTTTATTTTTTTTTTTTAAGCAGACTCCACACCCAGCACGGAGCCCAACTCAGGGCTCAAACTGAGAACTGTGAGATCAAGACCTGAGCCAAGATCAAGAGCTGGAAGCTCAACCAACTGAGCCACCCAGGCACTCCCTGACATTTCTTTTCTGAAAAAGATTTTGAAAAATATTCAAGCCAGTGAAAAACATCAGAATAAATAATGTCAAGAAAGAGAAAACATAATTTAAAGCAAAACAAAGAGGTAAGAAATGAAACCAATAAAAACTCAGTTAAACAACTGTTGATAACAGGGCCCCTAGGTGGCTCAGTTGGTTAAGCGTCTGCCTTCAGCTCAGGTTATGATCTCAGGGTCCTGGGATCGAGCCCCACATCAGGTTCTCTGCTCGGCGGGGAGTCTGCTTCTCGCTCTCACTCTCCTTCTGTGCTCTCCCTCTCTCCCTCCCTCTCTCTCTTTCTCTCAAATAAATAAATAAAAATCTTAAAAAAAAAAAAGTTGTAGATAATACAATCATGGAGTTTTGGGTAATAGTTAACAGGATTCTCAAAATATAAATAATATGAAATAAAATCAGTCGCAATCCAGCACAAACTTTAGAGATGATTTCAACCCTGCAGGATCCAACATGTGTTCCTAGAATTGGATCCATTATTTTAGCTTATCAAGATTCTGTATTCCAAGTGGGAGTTTGTAAAATGTGTACATATATATAGGGCGCCTGGGTGGCTCAGTTGGTTAAGCGACTGCCTTCGGCTCAGGTCATGATCCTGGAGTCCCGGGATCGAGTCCCGCATCGGGCTCCCTGCTCAGCGGGGAGTCTGCTTCTCCCTCCGACCCTCCCCCATCTCATGTGCTCTCTCTCTCTCATTCTCTCTCTCAAATAAATAAATAAAATTCTTTAAAAAAAAAAAATGTGTACATATACCTTTGACACAGTAATCATCTTCCAGCCTGCCCATTTGCCCCAGGCTCTTCAAAAGACAGTGAGTGGGAATAAATGGCATTTTCTGTAGACTTCTAAGAACAGGCAGTACCAGCACTACAGGGCAAACATGTGGCTAGGTAGCAATGGTAGGGAAAGAGACGGAGTTTTTAGATACTGATCAGCTCTGTATGAGTCACCACAGTCATTAATCACCTTGCTTTGTGTCCAGTCACTCAACAACCTAATAAAAATGATTGTTATAACGAGCGCTAATCCCAGGGACTCTTGTGCGTCTTCTGACACATGGTGGCCACTGTTCTACACGCTTCATTATTTATGACTAATTATTTTCATCTTATTCTGCACAATAACCCCATGAGGTAGATGCTATTATTATCCCCATTTTACAAAGGAAGTACATGAAGCACAGAGTGGGTAAGTAAGTACACTGAAATCACACAGGTTAAGTGGTGGGAAAGCCAGACTTGGAAACCAGGTATGTGGCTCCAGGACCACACCCTTAACCACTAGCCACACTGTCCCCCCCCCCACTACAGTCACAGTACCAGCATCCAATCAATAATTCCATCTTGTCCACAGACAATGCCAAAGATATCCATTGTCTTAATGAAGTCTAGAAGTCCCTACCATCTATCCCTGAGACCGGTGACATGATTTTTGACTTTTAATGCCCTGCTACCTCTTAATGTTCACAAACCGTCCCTTTTCTAACCTATTCTAGAATC